GAATGTAACAACAGCTGAATTTTTGGATGGTAAGAGATCTCGAGGTAGACCAAAAAAATCATGGAATGGCTGTGTAAGCAACAATGTGCTAGAAATTAGAAACTAGCAGAAGTTGTGTAAGGATAGAGCCAGTTTTAGACGAGCTCTGAATGCGGCAATGTGCCCACATGCGCCTTAGCCAAGGAATAAAGTAAGTATACCTTTTGACCATAAATCACCAAATACTAATGAACAGTTTTCTAATTATCAGCAACTATTTAAAAATATTTTTTAAACACAGTTGATTTCCCCTTGAACAAGGTCTGGTTTCAATATCAAATCAGAGCCTGGGGGAAAACAACATAATTTAAAAAGTTTTTGATTTGCCATCAATTATGCCTTCTGGTAGAAATCAAGTGTATGGAACTGATCAAGAATGATCAAGTTTAGTCCAGTGTTGTACAAACTTTTTTGAGTCACGGCACACCTTAGGGGTAAGCCATTACCGAAGTCGCACACAGCATGCGGCTCGCGTCATTTACAAAAAAACTACAGAACAAAAGTGTGCCGCGGCACACAGTTTGGAAAACACTGTTCTTGTCAGTCAACTTTTAACCTTTTTAGAGATCTTTACATCACAACTTTTTTCCCATCATGTTGTTGTCCCCTTGAAAATTTTCGTACCAAATCCCGATTAAATAGGCATCTTAGTAAGATACTGTCCTGCCAAGCCATCAGCAGTCAATAAAAAAAGAAAACTCAATCCAATCCCAAACAGACATTTATAGCAAATAATTATAGAACTAAAAGCTACATTTCTCAATACTCAGCCACCTTCATAGCATTTATTCGTTCACATTATATTGTATGCAAATACATACAATTCCTGCAAAAGTATCCAACATAAAGTACAACTTCGCGTATATACACAATATTTTTTTTCATTCCGTATAAAAAATGTATGGAGAAGTCCACTGCCGCTCACCATTGATGATATGTTACTTTCGTATTTATTTTACTCTTTTTGTGTGTTTCGCCATGCAAAAGCATCAACTTTTTGTGCTTTTTCACATTTTTTTTTTCATCGCTGCCTTTTTTTCAGAAAATGAAATTGTTTGAGATGAAATATAAAAATTTGGCGTTCAGATGGAAGCGAATGTGAATGAAAAAGAGAATTTGTAATTGTGAGGTTGGGGATAGGGTGGGCATTAAGGGAATGTATTGTGTGAGTTTTTGATGTTTTTAGTGACTTTTTGGTAATAATATTGTTAGAAAATTGGCGTTTCTGCATCAAAATTCGTTTGCAGAGCATGATTTTGTACCAGCTTTGAGATCTAATGTCTAAAGTTGTGTACTGAGCACGATTCTGAGCCACCTATGAGAATTTGAGTATAAAGTCGTGTACAGAGTACGATTCTGTGCCACTTATGAGATCTAATGCCTAAAGTCGTGTACAGAGTACGATTCTGTGTCATTTTAAAGTCAGATTTCCATATAAATTGTGGAAGTTTTGCATCAATCCTCTCTGAAACTGCATCAATATCCTCACAAAACTTTCTAATACATTTTCTAATTTTTCCAGTCCTCCCATAAATTAAAAGATTCATCATGAGAAGAAAATTTTCTCGATAAAATTCATTAAAAAGCTCTTCATTAGTAGCAAAAAGGAAGGGTGGTGCTGGGCTGAAATATAACGAGAGACTTTTCATTGTATGTGCAGAGTCATCTAACATCATTCTAATGTGTACATGTACAATAAAATAAAATAGATGCATGCATATATAGTTTGGTCATAGGAGCTTCTTACTCTACTTTTTCTCATTCCTTCCTGCTCGTTTTTTGGGTGCTTATCTTCTTCCCTCTTTTCTATTTTGTACTTGAAAATTAGGAACAAGTTTGGTTGGCATAGAATGGTGATCGCTACACGACTCTAGAAACAAATTCTCAAAATTGACATGAAATGGTGCTCAGCACACGACTCTAGACACACATTCTCAAAATTGACATAAAATGGTGCTCAGCACACGACTCTAGACACACATTCTCAAAATTGACATGAAATGGTGCTTAGCACACGACTCTAGACACAAATTCTCAAAATTGACATAAAACGGTGCTAAGCACACGCCTCTAGACACAAATTCTCAAAATTGACATAAAATGGTGCTCAGCACACGACTCTAGATACAAATTCTCAAAATTAACACAAAATGGTGCTCAGTACACGACTTCAGACACAAATTCTCAAAATTAACACAAAATGGTGCTCAGTACACGACTTCAGACACAAATTCTCAAAATTGACACAAAATGGTGCTCAGTACACGACTTCAGACACAAATTCTCAAAATTGACATAAAATGGTGCTCAGCACACGACTCTAGACACAAATTCTCAAAATTGACACAAAATGGTGCTCAGCACATACATCCTTTCTGATGATCACAACTGCTCGCCATCTCAAAGAATCAAGCTCCAGAAAAAGCCAACATCAAGCTCATTTGTAGTACATCACGTAATAATTTTCAGAAAATGTATGTGATTATAAAATCCACCATTACCTCATGCCTCTCACCAGCTTCCCATTCCATAACATTCAATGTCCAAAAAAAGTAGCTCCTTCAACACCATCTTCTCCATTCTAAACATACATCCTCATATACGAAAAATATTCAGTATGTACACAATATGATGATGATGCTCTTGTATCCATCACAACGACGTATTATTTATGGTAATTTAGTTATAAATTAGATAGCTTGAGTGAACCGAAGAGGATTTTGTGTGTAAAATTTTCCTCTTAAAATCTACAACAAAAGCATAAAAAGTAAACTTTCCGACTGGTAGGAGGACGAGTGAAAAGACTGGCAAAAGTTTTATTCTGCAGTCTCATACTCTATGGAATGTAGACTTAGATGGGAAAGAAGATGGAAAGTTTCATGTATGTATAAGTCGACTTGTGTGCATAGAGAGACCCCCGGTATGGAGGTGGAGAGGTTGCAAATTTTGTTAGTTTTTTGAGTACATGTGAAAGAAGTGTGTATCCATGTGCACAGGGTTTAGCAGAAATTAATGGAAATATGTCTTAATGTTGATGTAATTTTGACCTAATGATGCATTATTAAGGGGAATGCAGCTTTAAACGATGGGGTACACAGCTTTAAATGAAGGGTACACAGCTTCAAACGAAGGGGTACACAGCTTCAAACGAAGGGGTACACAGCTTCAAACGAAGGGGTACACAGCTTCAAACGAAGTGGTAAACAGCTTCAAACGAAGGAGTACACAGCACCAGACAAAGGGGCACAGAGCTTCAAATGAAGGGATTCATAGGTAAAAATGAGGGTTAAGAAGTTTAATACAAAAGGATACGCAGCTAAAAATCAGGGATAAGCACACAACAACGAATAAAGGGTATGCAGCTTAAAATTGAGGGGAACACAGCTTATGTCAACAGCTCAACGACCCAATTCATTCATCAATGCTGTACATAGAGACATAGTTTATGCACTCTATTCACTTTACATCCAGTGATCTTCAAGTGCACATCTAACTTAACTTCTATTTGTCTATGTAGAACAAAATTAGATGAGATTCAACCTGATGTTGCACTTACGCAAATATTGTGCATTTCAGTGTGAACAAATTTAAGGATGAGAAATGTTTTTTGAGAATTGAATAGAAAAAAAAGATTTTAAATTTGGATAAATTTTATTTCGTTAAAGGCAGTTATTTTGGGAAGTTAAATTGACTGTAAGTTCATTATAAACCTTGTAGAATTGAATTTAAAAAACTGCGTGCCCCACAGTTGGATGTACCCCTTGGATAAGAAGCTGTCTACCCCTTCGATAAGAAACCATTAATGCCTTAGATGAGAAGCTTTGAACTTCCTTGGTTAAAATCTGTGAACTTTTTTGATAAGAAGCTGTGTATCCCTAAGAACTTGTGTATCCAATATATTGAAAGCTGTGTACCCCTAAGATTAGAAGCGATAAATCTCTTAATTAAAAACTGTCTTTACCACTTAAATGAATGCTAATTTCCCTAATCATAAATCTATCTGTTACTGTTTTTAAGCTTTGCACCCATTTCTGTTCAAACTGTGTTCATTAAGACAACTGAATAGAATTCGACAACATTCTCAGAAACATACAAACAACAAAACTTTGTTCAACTTATTAGCATTTTAGACTAGCAATGCAAGAAAAAAACCTTCATCATTTCCATTAATCCATCGATTACAATCGCAATTACCCTTTAAATCGAATTCAAATTCTCATTAAAAATTCTCGCGCTCTAGTAACCAAAAGAAGAAACGACGATCCACATTCAATTCCAATTTTACTGCTCCACACCACCTTCTCGTTGGATAAAACATGAACGGTCAATTTGAATTTTTTTTTTACCTTTTTCTCCGCTCACACCAATTGCTTGATTCTGTTCTTGCATAACTGGCATCGCGGGAGGGTGAATTTTGCATAAAAACCAATCAACCGTTCTTGTCCTCATACCATTTGCGACGAGTTTTTATCCTTTTTAACATAACAAGAACCTTTTTCATTATTTCCCATACATACAAAACGACAAAAATGCTTTCGTGGCTTTCCTTGTAAAAATTTTGGGTTGATTCTTGGATTTCGGGATGATTTATGGTCAATAGTAGTGTTTTGTGCTCGGGTTTGATCGTTAATTGTCGAGAACTGGGTTCTTAACACAACTATCGTCACAACAGGTGGATAGCATGTCTTGGGACAATAATTGTTAAAAATAGTGCTCCCTATACGACTCTTGACATTTCTGAACACCATTTGGATCTGTGTACTACATAAACCACAGGACTATGAACCACCACGAATCATATCCCATCCACAAAATTACAGTCCCTTGAAATTCTAACAAATCTCTTTCAAGGGACCAAACGAATAATTTTTTTTTCTGTTAATTTATAATTTTGTCATCTTAATTTGAATTTTTTACGCTTTTAGGATTTTTTTTCCGTTAACCATTTCGCGCAATTATAAATGGAAGATGAGGAAAAACGAGAAAAAATTACATTAAATGATGGAAATGAGGAGTGAGTGAGAGGAAAAAAACAGCATATTAAATACTAGATGATGGGAACCCTTCTCACTCTTCGATACTGGTATTTTATGGTGGAATGAAGGCAAGGGGTGGCATTTTGAATATTTTTTTTGTAAATACGAGGTAGCTTAAAATAAAGGGGCACACAAATATAAATGAAAGGGTACAAAACTTAAAATGAAGAAGGCACAGAACTATGAAATGAGGGGTACACAACTATGAAAGAAAATAGGTGCACAACTATGAATTAAAGGGTACAAAACTATGGACAAAGGGGGTATAAAACTATGAATAAAAATGTACACAACTATGGATAAAGGGGAACAAAAATATGAATGAATGGGTACACAACTATGGATGTAGGGGGACAAAACTATATATGAAAGGGGACCAAAGTTTAAATGAAAGGGTATACAACTATAGATAAATATACACGCAACTATGCATTGAAGTTACACAACTATGAAGGGGGACAAAACTATGAATGAAGGGGTACACAACTATGCATAAAAGGGGTATGCAACTTAAAACATAGCATTTAACGAATGTGTACGCAGCTTTTACACAAATTTCCCAGAAATATGTCCATCCCTTGTCATTCGTGAAGACAGCATAACAGTCTCATAAATATACCATTGAATTTATTTTATAAACACAACCAAATTATAATTTTTATACATAATCATGAATTAGAAAATTCGAGTCGTCACTCGACAAAAACATCTAAAAAAATCCGTCTGATGAGGCATCGAAAGGGGTTGGGAAGTAAGGTAATGAAGGGAGGACATTGTTTGACTTTTTTTTAAATAAAATATAAATAAAAAAAAAACGTAAATTGCGGAACTCATTTCCATAAATCCAATTTAATTTGTTAAGCCTTTAATTATAAACGTTTCTAATTTTTTTTTTGTTTCCCATTCCTCGTCGTCACTTCTCCTTCTTTTCAATCAACACACAGCGGTGGTGCGAAGGAGCACAATTGGGAGGGAAATTTTTGTAGCTCAAATGGACTCGTCCTGGTTGTGGAATGAATTAGACTTTTGGTTTTTTGGGAAAAGATGAGCTTGGTTTGGTTGATTGGAACTGGAGGAAGACACATGATTAGAACTCCTAGCTCCAAAAAGTCGCACATTCTAAAACCACTTTTAGCATCCGACCCAAAAACTGCGTCTATGTCAACTAACCTCAAAATTAATATATTCCGATAATTTTCCAACTCATTCCCTTTGACAATACAAACTCTACTGGTGCTTAAGCTTTCTCGATTTCTCGGTCTCGACAAATTCTCGAGACCGAGACCGAGACCGAGACTTCCCGGGAATTCCCGGGAAGTCTCGACTTTAAAAACTACTTAAAATTTCGCTGAAAGTAATTAAAAAACACTTTGAACATGTAGATTACGTCTATTTGTTATTGAACTTCTGGATATATTCCTTGTTATGCGGTCAGTCAAACTAATTTTATTGTCTTAATACTAATATAAAATATAATAGAAATACGAAATACGTAATGATAAAAGAAAAGCATAATGATAAGAAAGTGTGTCCCTATTAAAACTATTCTTTTTTTTTGTGAAAATGTCAATAAGTTCGATAACGGTAAATTTAGTTTCAAACTATGAAAAATTATAGGAGTTTTTATTTTAAATTCAGGTTTTACGTTGAAATATTAATACATTTTAAAAACTGCTTAAAACTTTTACTAATAATTAATTTATTATTGATATTTATTCACAAAAATTGGATAGGGTAAATGACTTTGAAATTTGCGCAACCTTGAAATTTGCGCACTCGTATGAAAACGAAAATTTTGAAATTATATGTAAAAATGTCACTTCTGTTCAGACGATCAATGGGAAATGTTTGTAGAACACCAGCGCAGATGTTTTTGCATCATTTTTAGTGATATTAAACCATTAGGAAGCTCAATAATTTGCACCCGAAAAATCCCATACAAAAAGAGAAAAAATCCCATACCTCCGAAGAGATTGAAGCAAATGAAAATTTCATGTGTGAAAATGCGCAAATTTCAAGGTCATTTACCCTAACTGTAAGATTAACTACAAACTGTGATGGGAAAAATTCTAAAATTATCATTTTTACTTAAATTTTTTTCTTCTCTAGTCTCGGGTCTCGGTCTCGGAAAATTCTCGAGACCGAGACGAGATCGAGACCGAGACTTCCCGGGAAGTCTCGGTCTCGATTTCGTCATCGGGAAAGCATACTGGTGCTGCCTCATGATGATGATGTGACCTTTTAATCACAGATTAATTTTTTTTATTTCACACTACGTGCGATTCTACTTCAATTATTGACACTAGCACATTAACAGACTCACACATATAGACATAGAATTAGTTCGACTTATGAAAATTAAGTTATAAATTAGAGACAATTTTGTGTTGAAATTATCTGAAAAAATTTGCATTTTCTGTGTCATTCGACCAAATAGCAGTGAGAATTATGATCAGCCCTTTCAAAATCTTTCTCTATGGTTTTAATTTTTTTTTTTACTTTAATGATTATTTTTCTAATTTTATGAAAATTTTCGAGAATATGCATAAACATTGGTCATGTCCTGCGTCTGAAACTTTTTGGTATTGTGAAGAAAAAATTGCATGGAAGTGTTCCTTGTTTTTCTTTCCATATGAGCCATGTTTGGGATTATTTTGAATATTATTGATGGGCTTGCATTGATTTGATGTATTTTACCATATTAATTTAAATTCGTGGTTAAATTGTTAAATTTTGAGGTTAGAATGTCAAATTTTGAGGTTATATTGCCCAACTTTGAGGTTATATTGCCCAACTTTGAGTTTATATTGCCCAAATTTGAGGTTATATTTCCCAACTTTGTGGTTATATTGCCCAACTTTGAGGTTATATTGCCCAACTCTGTGGTTATGTTGCTCAATATTGAGGTTATATTGCCCAACTTTGAGGTTATGTTGCCCAATATTGAGGTTATGTTGCCAAACTTTAAGGTTATATTGCCCAAATTTGAGGTTATGTTGCCCAGTATTGAGGTTATGTTGCCTCTATTTGAGGCTACATTGTTAAATTTTGAGGTTAGAATGTCAAACTGAGGTTATATTGCCCAACTTTGAGGTTATATTGCCCAACTTTGAGGTTATATTGCCCAACTTTGAGGTTATATTGCCCAACTTTGAGGTTATGTTGCCCAATATTGAGGTTATGTTGCCAAACTTTAAGGTTATATTGCCCAACTTTAAGGTTATGTTGCACAGTATTGAGGTTATGTTGCCTCTATTTGAGGCTACATTGTTAAATTTTGAGGTTAGAATGTCAAATTTTGAGGTTATATTGCCCAACTTTGAGGTTATATTGCCCAACTTTGAGGTTATATTGCCCAACTATGTGGTTATATTGCCCAACTTTGAGGTTATATTGCCCAACTTTGTGGTTATGTTGCTCAATATTGAGGTTATGTTGCCAAACTGTAAGGTTATATTGCCCAAATTTGAGGTTATGTTGCCTAGTATTGAGGTTATGTTGCCTCTATTTGAGGCTACATTGTTAAATTTTGAGGTTAGAATGTCAAACTGAGGTTATATTGCCCAACTTTGAGGTTATATTGCCCAACTTTGAGGTTATGTTGCCCAATATTGAGGTTATGTTGCCAAACTTTAAGGTTATATTGCCCAACTTTAAGGTTATGTTGCCCAATATTGTGGTTATGTTGCCGCTATTTGAGGCTACATTGTTAAATTTTGAGGTTAGAATGTCACATTTTGAGGTTGTATTGCTCAACTTTTAGGTTATGTTGCCCAACTTTGTTTTTAAGGTAAAATTGTCACATTATTTTAGAATTGAAACAAAATGCAAATTAACCCTCAAAATTTCTTCATTATCTCTTCTAATTCCTTCTCGGATTCCTAGTTCCTAAAAAAAAACATTCCATGCCTTCATCACACATGCTTTTCAATCTTTACCCTTTCACATTTTTTTTTGTTCCTGCATAAAATCCTTTTCATTTTCTCCTTTCGATTTTTCCTCTAGTACATCACAATGACAATGACTTGATACAAGGAATAAAAGGTCGAACAGAATGTGCATGTAATCTACACATGTGTTGGTGCCAGAACTAAGGATGAGGAAAATCTCCACTTTTATTTTCATTTTGCACAAATTTTGCAGTCTTTTGATGGAAGAAGTCGATGTGCATTGGATTTTTGTGAATGTATTTGATGTAGCTTGTATGTAGGCCTGTCTTTTGTCGCTTCTATAATGTTTTTTGTTATTTTGTGTTCTCTGTTGGATAGATGAGGATAGATGCAAAGGTGGAAAATTGAATAAATTAAAAAGGATTAAAGAATTGACAGTTGTAAAAGTTTGGAGAATGTTGAGATCGAAATAATAAGGATATTGCTCCCAAAAATAAATCTTCCCTCACATACTCCCACCATAATTCATTTCACAACATTATTAAAATGATAATTGATTATTCAACAATTGAAGTAAAAAAGAAAATAAAAATAATTTTTAATTAACAATAAACAGGCATCATTGAGGCCACAAGTTTATGTAATTAATATGAAAGTTTTAATTGAAAATATTCTTTATCACATTTCATTTACTCTGAACAGCACAGAACAACAGACTCGGTTGATTGAGAGGTAATGTAATGTCCCAGCAACATTGTTTCATTTTAATGACATCATTTTAATATGCTTTGTGTGCTTCATTTGATATCATGAGGACATAATATTTTAACAGAAATTATTGATGCTGTACAAATATGAAGTCACTGAATGTTAATTAATTTAAACGTGTGGAGAACAATGGGGATTGTTAGAAGTGAACTGGAAGACTATTGTTAAGGATGATTGGCATTAGTTTATCAAACTATAATTGATTTGTAATGAAGCTAGTCGAATTTCTGCCGTGCGCCATTTTTGAGAGAAACTTCAAACTATTTCTCTGAATAAAACGCATGAATTTGCAAAATTGTGTTCAAATGCTTTCAAATCTTTCAAAAAAATCAATCATGCGCTATTTTCAAGAGAGACTTTAAACTGTTTCCCAGAATATGGCACACAAATTTGCAAAAATTAAGTCCGAATGACTTCAAATCATTCAAAAAATTCTTAACCTGCTGTTCTCTCAAAATCCCTCATCCCCCAGCCTCTCCTCTTCATCCACAATTCACATCCTCATCTATTTCACGGTTGAGAATGCAAGTCAAGTGCCATTTCCTTTATGATTCTCAAATCTTTTGTTTTTATTCTAGAATATTTTTTTTCTGTCTCTCTCCTGTTGTTATTTCCTCAATAGGATATGAGAATCTGTTCCACAAGGCAAGATGACAATGCATTATCATAATAATAATAATGAAAATACTTTATAAAAAAAACTTTTTAAAAAAACTACGTTTTTCGCGTAGACTAAAAAGTAGAAAATAACTTTTATTCTTGGTTGTAAAGAATTTGGTTTTAAATTTTCAGATTATATTTAATAAATTTTTATATCCTAGTCAATATTGTTCACAAAGTTTCGAATAAGTGCATTTTGATCTTATCGTATAACTCAACAACTTAAAAACGTGGGCGCATTAATTTAAGTTTATCATAAAGTATTGATTTCACATAAACTTATTTCTCCTCTTATAATGCGCCCACGTTTTTAAGTTGTTGAGTTATACGATAAGATCAAAGTGCACTTATTCGAAACTTTGTGAACAATATTGACTAGGATATAAAAATTTATTAAATATAATCTGAAAATTTAAAACCAAATTCTTTACAACCAAGAATAAAAGTTATTTTCTACTTTTTAGTCTACGCGAAAAACGTAGTTTTTTTAAAAAGTTTTTTTTATAAAGTATTTTATTTTCAACTTTTTAGTCTTATTCTAATGAAATAGAGAAATAAAGATTATAGGGGGTTTATAGGTTACAGGTGTGTTGAACTTCACTTCGTTGCACTTCGTTACGTTCAACTGTTTATAGATTACAGTAGGTTCATAGGTTACAGGTGTGTTGAACTTCACTTCGTTGCACTTCGTTACGTTCAACTGTTTATAGATTACAGTAGGTTTATAGGTTACAGGTGTGTTGAACTTCACTTCGTTGCACTTCGTTACGTTCAACTGTTTATAGATTACAGTAGGTTTATAGGTTACAGGTGTGTTGAACTTCACTTCGTTGCACTTCGTTACGTTCAACTGTTTATAGATTACAGTAGGTTCATAGGTTACAGGTGTGTTGAACTTCACTTCGTTGCACTTCGTTACGTTCAACTGTTTATAGATTACAGTAGGTTTATAGGTTACAGGTGTGTTGAACTTCACTTCGTTGCACTTCGTTACGTTCAACTGTTTATAGATTACAGTAGGTTTATAGGTTACAGGTGTGTTGAACTTCACTTCGTTGCACTTCGTTACGTTCAACTGTTTATAGATTACAGTAGGTTTAAAGGTTACAGGTGTGTTGAACTCCACTTCGTTGCACTTCGTTACGTTCAACTGTTTATAGATTACAGTAGGTTTATAGGTTACAGGTGTGTTGAACTCCACTTCGTTGCACTTCGTTACGTTCAACTGTTTATAAATTACAGTAGGTTTATAGGTTACAGGTGTGTTGAACTCCACTTCGTTTCACTTCGTTACGTTCAACTGTTTATAAATTACCAGTTTTCAATGGGAAATTAGTAACGACTTTCAAAATTTTTCATTCGTTTTATAAAATTTAATTTTTTTATAGCATTCATTAGTAAAGTATATTAAAAATCACTCGTAAAGATTTTGTGTTTATCTGTACCATTTCTACTTCATAACGTGTGGATTCTTACTATAAAGATGCAAATCACATATGTAACGTATTTATAACGGATTTTCAAATTTAAATTCAATGAATATCATTTATATGTTATGCAAAAATACGTCAAGCCGTTAATAAAAAGAAAAGTCAATTTAATTAAGTTGGTGAAGTGTTATAAATAATGCAATACATTTAAAACAGCATAAATTTATGCTCAAACTATGTGTGTTAAATGCACATCGCATATTAATAGTTATTTTGCATTAATTCGTAACGGACTTGTGCTTAACGGTTTTTTTGAAAATTCAAATTTTCACTTACGAATATTCATGAAAAAATTACATGTCAATTTTTTTGTCTTACCAGAATATCTTTAGCTGCTCAAATTTATGGTATAATTAATAATTAGTAATATTAATTAAACTATAATGAATCATATAAATGACTTTAGAGTATCACATGTATAATATTTAGTACAAATCAAAATTTTATATCATTGACATTGGATTTTTTCCCATATAAAAAACTTTTACATAAATTGTACTATAATTAAGCATTTTTGTGTTTCCAAAGTGTTAAAATATTGTATTGTCATCGGAAATATAAGTGCATGCAAAATTTCAGCTCGATTGGAGCAGTAGAAGTGGTCGAAAAATTGATTGCAAGATTTGACCAAGACAAACAGAAAGACAGAAAGACAAGAAAGCAAGTTAAGAAAAACGTGGTAAAAAGTAGTTTTAATAATCATATGAAGGACATATTGTGAGGACACAATGAGATTTTCATGTGACATCAAACGGTTCAAAATTTTTCATCTCATTTTTATGTTGTCTTTTGTTTTGTTGAGGAAAATAGAGGACAGATAGGATGAGAATGTCAAGTAAAAAAGACAACTTTAAATTATGACAATAGCGCCTTTTTGAATTTTTGTCAAAAATCGTGAGCGTTGTCCGACTTTTGAACAAAAAAACTTGTTTGAGTCTAAAACGATATGTGATTTGCAATTTTTGACCATATTTATAAGATTGTGTCTATAGTCGTGTGCTCTATGCCAATTTTGACCAAATTAAGTTAATACCGCGTACCCGTACTTACAAACAACAGCTACACGTCTATATTCCTCATTTTCATGTTAATCTTTCATCCTTTATTCTCACAATTTTCACCTTTATCCTTTCTATACGACAAGACTCACATGTACTTGATACACTTTTGTGTGTGAATTCTATGGAAAAAGATTTTTGTCCTTAACAATGAATAGAATTTTTTTTTCCTACTCTACATTCACATGTCTCTGTCCCACTCCACTCAGAAAATGCACATTTGTTTTTCAATTCACAGTCTCCTTTTTTTCTACACACTCGATTGTCTCTTTTTCACTCACTTACCCACTTTTTCTGTTTTTTTCTTCTTTTTTTTTGAATAAAGAGTTAAATTCACCTTTAGTCTCTGAGGACAAATTGTTAATGTTTACATTTTTTTTTACTCTTGTTAAATAGATTGTGTTTATTATTATTACTACGTTTTTCTTAACTTGCTTTCTTGTTTGTTTGTTTGTTTGTTTGTTTGTTTGCAAAAAATTTCAAATCTTGCGATCAATTTTTCGACCACTTCTACTGCTCCAATCGAGCTCAAATTTTTAATCCACATGTATTCCCGGTGACAATACAATATTTTAACACTTTGGAAACACAAAAATGCTTAATTATAGTACAATTTATGTAAAACTTTTTTATATGGGAAAAAATCCAATGTCAATGATATAAAATTCTGATTTGTATTAAATATTATACTTGTGATGCTCTAAAGTCATTTATATGATTCATTATAGTTTAATTATTATTACTAATTATTAATTATACCATAAATTTGAGCAGCTAAAGATATTCTGGTAAGACAAAAAAATTGACATGTAATTTTTTCATGAATATTCGTAAGTGAAAATTTGAATTTTCAAAAAAACCGTTAAGCACAAGTCCGTTACGAATTAATGCAAAATAACTATTAATATGCGATGTGCATTTAGCACACATAGTTTGAGCATAAATTTATGCTGTTTTAAATGTTTTGCATTATTTATAACACTTCACCAACTTAATTAAATTGACTTTTCTTTTTATTAACGGTTTGACGTATTTTTGCATAACATATAAATGATATTCATTGAATTTAAATTTGAAAATCCGTTATAAATACGTTACATATGTGATTTGATTTGCATCTTTATGTTAAGAATCCACACGTTATGTAGTAGGAATGGTTCGGATAAACACAAAATCTTTACGAGTGATTTTTAATGTACTTTACTAATGAATGCTTTAAAAAAATTAAATTTTATAAAACGAATGAAAAATTTTGAAAGTCGTTACTAATTTCCCATTGAAAACTGGTAATTTATAAACAGTTGAACGCAACGAAGTGAAGTTCAACACACCTGTAACCTATAAACCTACTGTAATCTATAAACAGTTGAACGTAACGAAGTGCAACGAAGTGGAGTTCAACACACCTGTAACCTATAAACCCCCTATAATCTTTATTTCTCTATTTCATTAGAATAAGACTAAAAAGTAGAAAATAAAATACTTTATAAAAAAAAACTTTTTAAAAAACTACGTTTTTCGCGTAGACTAAAAAGTAGAAAATAACTTTTATTCTTGGTTGTAAAGAATTTGGTTTTAAATTTTCAGATTATATTTAATAAATTTTTATATCCTAGTCAATATTGTTCACAAAGTTTCGAATAAGTGCACTTTGATCTTATCGTATAACTCAACAACTTAAAAACGTGGGCGCATTATAAGAGGAGAAATAAGTTTATGTGAAATCAATACTTTATGATAAACTTAAATTAATGCGCCCACGTTTTTAAGTTGTTGAGTTATACGATAAGATCAAAGTGCACTTATTCGAAACTTTGTGAACAATATTGACTAGGATATAAAAATTTATTAAATATAATCTGAAAATTTAAAACCAAATTCTTTACAACCAAGAATAAAAGTTATTTTCTACTTTTTAGTCTACGCGAAAAACGTAGTTTTTTAAAAAGTTTTTTTTTATAAAGTATTTTTTTATAAGTGGAGACAGGCTAAGGAGTGAAAAGTAAAAATTTGAAAACTTAAAAGAACTTGATCCAAAACTAAATTTTGAAATTTTAAAAATAAATACTTTCAGGGATCCTTCACTTATGACCACCCCCCCCCCCCCCCCCTCCTTAGGTGTCACTTGTCTGTGAATTGGAAAATTATAATTTCCTCATCTAAAAACTGGATGTCTTAAAAATATTAAAAATTGTTGAAAAAAAGAAATTCACCCAAAGGCTCGTCCTGAACGTGAATCGAACCTCGCACCTCTCGATTGCCGGTCAAGTGCTCAGACTACTAAGCTATCGGGCTTCGCCATTGGAACTGGCAGAATGCCAATATATAAATGATCCACTCTTTTTCAACTTTTCTATTCTAAAGCTCATAACGTTTAGTTTTTTATCTAATCTGTCTCATAATCGCAGTGGCAAGGCCACTAGAAGCCAAATGAAATAGATGTCACAAATTTTTGAACCCTTAACCCCCCTTCTAAAAGTTGGACGTCATAAGTGTACGACCCGTTAAAACAAAAACTTCGAAATCAACAATTCTTAAACAAAATATTGAAAAAAAAATCCCTCCAGACACTGACCATCCCTCACGACGAACTAAACTTAAATATACACCATTAAAAACCTATACATTATACTACGAAAAAAAATATACAGCAAAAGCAACATCATCTCATTACACTGAAACCGGCAATTTATCATTTGTGTAGAGCAGAAATTATTATTATTATAGAGTAAATTTCATAAGTATAATTCACATTAAAAAAAAATGGGAACGTTGATAATTAGCAAGAGACTAATAATCATAATTATCCTCACTCAGAGAATGAAGAAGAAATAAAAAAGCTTAAAAAAAATTCCACTATAATAACATGAAATGAAAATTCGAATGGAGAGAAAAGTCGTAGAGAAGGAAACAAGTTTGGGAGGTATTGAAAGTTTTGTGGTGATGTTTAAAGCGCATTTTGTTTTGAGAATTGAAATTTATTGATGTGATTGTGTCGATTTAGTTCAAAACCTTTGATTCACTTTAAAAATTGCGTAATCTTTGAATTTTATTACTTTAAAATTGATAAAAAGTCATTTGGTATTTTTTTTCCCACCTCAAAAAGTTTTTCCAGGTTTTCTCCGAATTTGAATTTTTTTTAACAAACATTTCTTCAGATTCTTCTTTAAAAAAGTGGCAAGAGTGGATCTATAAGTTTTTATTACTTCTAAAGATCAATTTGATGGAGTTAAATCAAAAACATTTATTGAACACGTGGTGTTTATGCATCTCTTTATTTCGGCTTAACCAATCATACTTCTGCCTTCTCAACTCCTTTGCAGACCTTATTTTGACTTCTTTATCTGGTACACATGTCTTATCTTGCCTAGTCGTGTTCATCAGAGGAGTAGAGCTATTCAGATTCAATAGCAATACTGAACCATTTAACTTCAGTTTTATCCAATTTTAAATTATTATTATTATTATTATTATTATTTTTATTTATATTGTTAAATTTCAAATCCATTTGTTTCTCTCCTTAATAGTACAAACCAACCTTAAATTAGCTCCATTTTCCAGAAAACCGTCCCTAAAAACAAGAGAACAAGAATGAGAATATTATGATATTAATTATTACTAATTACACTATGTAATTATCCACCTCCTTCTCTCCTATAAACTCTTTCACTCACTCTTTATGCCTTTTCATTTCATTTTATTATTGTGTGTCGTAGGAAACAAACTAGTCAACCAGCAATAACAATTGAGGGTTATAATAATAATAATGAGATGGTGGCGGTTTATAGTTTTAGTCTTCGTAGAAAAAAATATGAAATAATAAAAATTTATGTTTGGAAAATGAGTAGAATTGAGGTTGGGGGTGTTTTGGTGGCATTTGACCTTTTAAATAGTTTGATTTAGATATTGATGAATTGTGGAGCATTTTAATAACAACAGACCTAAAAGATTTTTGTGTCTTATAGCTGATTTAAATAGTATTTACTCCTTCAGCATATGCAAGCATGTCAAACCTCACCAAAACCCTCAGAACCCCATTTTTAAACCTTAACCCCAACTCGTCAACCACAAATTACAACAAGCATTAAGCAACGAAGAAAAATACAATTACAGCTTACAAAATGAGTCTAAAAAAATTATGACAAAGTAGCAATTGCTCGTCGGCTCACAGCACAGCAACCTGCACCCACAAAACACAAAATAAAAAATTAAATGTAACATTGGCAGTCACGTAATGAGGTGATTAAAATTATTATTAGGTTTTCTTTTCCATTTCATAATTGCCGCCGCACACAAATTTTTCATTTTCTTCTCCTTGTCCATTTCCACCTCGCCAGCAATATTGGCAGTCGGTGTAGCACCGACGAAAGTTAATTATGAGTTTTATTTTACAATGAAAAATTGTTTGCATTTATGAGGAGTTTGTGATGGGAATTAATGGTGGTTTTGGGGTTGTTTTGAGTTTAAAGGGTGTTAATTTGGGTTTGGTTAGGTCCAGAACTTGTCATTGATTTAAAAGTAGGAGTCTTTTAAGGAATATTGAATAAAAACACAAAATTTTGACCATAATTTTCATTTTAATGCAAACTGAGCCCAAAGCTACTCCTTAACTTTCAATTCAATCTCCTTATTCTCCGAAAAATGCGCTCTAACCTCCAACTCCACTAAGAACTGTCTTACTTGTCTCATTTTCCCTTCTACATCTACATGAGTGGTGTAAAGTTAATTCGTTTGACTAACGATTTTTTTAGTTCCTTCTATTGCAATGTATGTGTGAGTGTATATGATACCATGATGTTGATGATGACGATGATATTGTATAGACAGTCGAGTGTCTAATGTAATTAACGAGACCGTCATGATGACACTTTGATAATGATATTATAATTTTTATGTTTTTGTAAGTGTAATATTTTTATTTTTAATTTCTTGCGCTGTTTTATGGGACTGATGGAAAGAAGTTTGTTTGAGCGGAGGTCGTTCACTTATGAGGTATAACGTTTAGAAGCAGAAGAGGGTCTAGGATTCAACCAATTTTGTGACAGTTCTTAAAATCATGTGTTTTTGACAGACGATTTAAGATAAGTCTAACCAGGACAGGTGGAAAAAAATGGAGAAAAAAAGTGTTTAAAATTAAGCTAAACTTACGAACAGCTAAAATGCTCCATATTTGATTTGAAGCTGGTTGCCGGGATTTAGAGCATTTAAAGCAAAGGATGAAACTACACAATATGTTCCGAAAATTTTCTTTTAATTCACATTTACAACAGTATGGCTAAAACATGATTATGATCCAGTTACCCGTAATGGAACTAATTAAAATGAGACGAGGACATTAAAAATTGCAATTTCTAATAAATTTATAAAAAAATGGCCAGTAGCAAATTGCAACATTCTGAAATTGAAAGCACACGATTTAATTTGAATCCCCGAACCGAACATATTTGAAAGGTTGGCTGTGTCCCTGAAATTGATTTTTGGTGATCAGTTGAAAAAAATTTGGAAAAAAACTCATTTTTTTTACACGCTTTTTATTGAGTTGCTCTGTTGGTTTCTTTGTCACGTTCAAATCTTGCAATCGATTTTTCGACCACTTCTATTGCTCCAATCGAGCTCAAATTTTTATTACATACGTATTCCCGGTGACAATACAATATTTTCACACTTTGGAACCACAAAAAGGCTTAATTATAGTACAATTTAAGTAAAACTTTTTTATATGGGAAAAAAATCCAATGTCAATGATATAAAATTTTGATTTGTTTAAAATATTATACTTGAAATGCTCAAAAGTCATTTATATGATTTATTATAGTTTAATTAATATTACTAATTATTAATTATACTATAAATTTGAGCAGCTAAAGATATTCTGGTAGGACAAAAAAAATTGACAAGTAATTTTTTCATGAATTTTCGTAAGTGAAAATTTAAATTTTCAAAAAAACCGTTAAGCACAAATCCGTTACGAATTAATACAAAATAACTATTAATATGCGATGTACATTTAGCACACATAGTTTGAGCATAAATTTATGCTGTTTTTAATGTATTGCATTATTTATAACACTTCACCAATTTAATTAAATTGACTTTTCTTTTTATTAACGGCTTGACGTATTTTTGCATAACATATAAATGATATTCATTGAATTTAAATTTGAAAAATCCGTTATAAATACGTTACATATGTGAGATGCATCTTTATGCTAAGAATCCACACGTTATGAAGTAGAAATGGTACAGATAAACACAAAATCTTTACGATTGATTTTTAATGTACATTACTAATGAATGCTTTGAAAAAATTAAATTTTATAAAACGAATGAAAAATTTTGAAAACTGGTAATTTATAAACAGTTGAACGTAACGAAGTGCAACGAAGTGGAGTTCAACACACCTGTAACCTTTAAACCTACTGTAATCTATAAACAGTTGAACGTAACGAAGTGCAACGAAGTGGAGTTCAACACACCTGTAACCTTTAAACCTACTGTAATCTATAAACAGTTGAACGTAACGAAGTGCAACGAAGTGGAGTTCAACACACCTGTAACCTATAAACCTACTGTAATCTATAAACAGTTGAACGTAACGAAGTGCAACGAAGTGGAGTTCAACACACCTGTAACCTATAAACCTACTGTAATCTATAAACAGTTGAACGTAACGAAGTGCAACGAAGTGGAGTTCAACACACCTGTAACCTATAAACCTACTGTAATCTATAAACAGTTGAACGTAACGAAGTGCAACGAAGTGGAGTTCAACACACCTGTAACCTATAAACCTACTGTAATCTATAAACAGTTGAACGTAACGGAGTGCAACGAAGTGGAGTTCAACACACCTGTAACCTATGAACCTACTGTAATCTATAAACAGTTGAACGTAACGAAGTGCAACGAAGTGGAGTTCAACACACCTGTAACCTATAAACCTACTGTAATCTATAAACAGTTGAACGTAACGAAGTGCAACGAAGTGGAGTTCAACACACCTGTAACCTATAAACCTACTGTAATCTATAAACAGTTGAACGTAACGAAGTGCAACGAAGTGGAGTTCAACACACCTGTAACCTTTAAACCTACTGTAATCTATAAACAGTTGAACGTAACGAAGTGCAACGAAGTGGAGTTCAACACACCTGTAACCTATAAACCTACTGTAATCTATAAACAGTTGAACGTAACGAAGTGCAACGAAGTGGAGTTCAACACACCTGTAACCTTTAAACCTACTGTAATCTATAAACAGTTGAACGTAACGAAGTGCAACGAAGTGGAGTTCAACACACCTGTAACCTATAAACCTACTGTAATCTATAAACAGTTGAACGTAACGAAGTGCAACGAAGTGGAGTTCAACACACCTGTAACCTATGAACCTACTGTAATCTATAAACAGTTGAACGTAACGAAGTGCAACGAAGTGAAGTTCAACACACCTGTAACCTATGAACCTACTGTAATCTATAAACAGTTGAACGTAACGAAGTGAAACGAAGTGGAGTTCAACACACCTGTAACCTATAAACCTACTGTAATCTATAAACAGTTGAACGTAACGAAGTGCAACGAAGTGGAGTTCAACACACCTGTAACCTATAAACCTACTGTAATCTATAAACAGTTGAACGTAACGAAGTGCAACGAAGTGGAGTTCAACACACCTGTAACCTATAAACCTACTGTAATCTATAAACAGTTGAACGTAACGAAGTGCAAC